AAATTGACAGAGAAATCAAATCATTTACTGATATACAAACATTGAGGAAATTCGCCAGAACAAGACCAGCTCTACAGGAAACACTTCAACCTGTTCTACACACTGAACATCATAATGGATCAACAGCAAAGTAAGAACTCAGAAATTAAAGGACAGAACATAACTTCCACAATGTTGCAAAAAATAAAACTAAGCAATGAACTTTCACAAAATAAGATGAATAGAACACTACCACACTTATCAATTATCTCAATAAATGTTAATTACTTGAATTTCCCACTGAAGCTGAAGAGGCACAGATTGGCTGCCTGAATTAAAAAACACAAGCCATCCATTTGCTGTCTGCAGGAAACACACCTAGCTTCAAAAGACAAATTAAAACTCCGAGTTAAGTGTTGGAAGACAATTTTTCAGGCAAATGGAATTCAGAAGAAAAGAGGAGTTGCAATCTTATTTTCAGATACATGTGGATTTAAAGTAACTAAAGTCAAAAAAGACAAAGATAGTCACTTTACATTGGTCAAGGGAAAAATACAACAAGAAAACATTTCAATTCTAAATATTTATGCACTCAATTTAAATGCTCCTAGATTCTAGAAACAGACATTACTCAGTCTGAGCAATACGATATCCTATAATACCACAATACAAGGGACTTTAATACTCCTCATACAGAGCTGGACACATCCTCTAAAGAGAAATTAAACAAAGATATAAAGGACTTAAATGAGATTCTAGAGCAACTGTGCATGATAGACACATATAGAGCACTCTATCCCAAAGATAAAGAATATACATTCTTCTCATCACCCCCCCCATGGAACATTCTCCAAAATTGATCATATCCTAGAACACAAAACAAATGTCAACAGAATCAAAAGAATTGAAATTTTACCTTGTATCTTCTCAGACCACAAGGCACTAAAGGTAAAACTCAATTACAACAAAAACATTCAACCCCATACAAAGGCAAGGAAATTTTACAACCTTCGGTTGAATGACAGTTGGGTGCAGGAAGAAATAAAAGAGAAAATAATTTCTTATAAGGGTACATGTGAATCTTTCTACATGTTGAATTTAAATGTTTGAACACAATTATGAGAATGACATGATGGCTATGCTGGCCAATCGGATGAAAGTATTTCAAATTGTATATGGAACCAACACACTGTATCCCAGGATAGAATTAACGTGCACAAATATGATTTAATTAAAAAAAAAAGGAAATCATTAACTTCCTTAAGCAGAACAACAATGAAAACACAAGTTACCAAAACCTGTGGGATATCACAAAAGCAGTTTTGAGAGGAAAATTTATCACTTTAGATGACTACATTTGAAAAACAGAAATAGAGCACACCAACAAACTCACAAGCCATCTTATGGAATTGGAAAAAGAAGAACAATCTAAGCCTAAACCCAGCAGAAGGAAAAAAATCAAATCAGAGATCAATGAAATTGAAAACAAAAGAATCATTCAGAAAATTAATGAAACAAGGAGTTGTTTTTTTGAAAAAATAAATAAAATAGATAAACCTTTGGCCAGACTAACTAAAAATAAAAAAGTAAAATCTCTAGTAACCTCAATCAGAAATGATACAGGGGAAATAACAACTGATGCCACAGAGCTGCAAGAGATTATCTCTGAATACTACCAGAAACTCTATGCTCTGAAATTCGAAAATGTGAAGGAAATGGATCAATATTTGGAATCACACCCTCTCCCTAGACTTAGGCAGGAAGAAATAGAGCTCCCGAACAGGCCAATTTCAAGCACTGAGATTAAAGAAACAATAAAAAATCTTCCAACAGCAACAACAAAAAAAGCCCTTGTCCAGATGGCTTCATACCAGAATTCTGGCAAACCTTCAAGGAAGAGCTAATTCCCGTACTGCAGAAATTATTCCAAAAATTGAGGAGGAAGGAATCTTCCCCAACATGTTCTATGAAGCAAACATTATCCTGATACCAAAACCAGGAAAAGAGCCAACTACAAAGGAGAATTTCAGACCAATTTCACTAATGAATATAGATGCAAAAATTCTCAACAAAATACTAGCCAATAGATTGCAGCTTATCATCAAAAAAAAGTCATACATCATGATCAAGTAGGTTTCATCCCAGGGACGAAAGTCTGGTTTAACATACACAAGTCTATAAATGTTATTCACCATATCAACAGAAGTAAAACCAAAGACTATGATCCTCTCAATAGATGCAGAAAAAGCATTCAATAAAATCCAGCATCCTTTTCTAATTAGAACACTGAAGAGTATGGGCATACATAGAACATTTCTGAAACTGATCGAAGCTATCTATGACAAACCCACAGCCATTATTTTACTAAATTGAGTAAAACTGAAAGATTTTCCTCTTAAAACTAGAACCAGACTAGGTTGTCCTCTGTCACCATTACTATTCAACATAGTGCTGGAAGTTCTAGCCAATACAATTAGGTAAGACAATGAAATAAAGGGTATCCAAATGGGAGCAGAGGAGGTCAAATTCTCCCTTTTTGCTCATGATATGATCTTATACTTAGAGGACCCCAAATACTCAACCACAAGACTCCTGGAAGTCATCAAAAAATACAGTAATGTCTTAGGATATAAAATCAATATCCGGAAGTCAGTTGCTTTTGTATATGCCAATAATAGCCAAGACGAGAAGCTACACAACTTCCTTCACCATAGTTTCAAAGAAAATTAAATACCTAGGAATATGCCTAACAAAGGAGGTGAAGGACCTCTATAAAGAAAATTATGAAATCCTAAGAAAGGAAATAGCAAAGGATATTAACAAATGGAAGAAACATACCACGCTCATGTTTGGGAAGAATCAACATTGTTAAAGTGTTCATTGTTAAAATGTTGATTCTTCCCAAAGCAATATACCTATTCAGTGCCATCCGTATTAAAATACCATCATCGTACTTTCAAGATTTGGAAAAAATGATTCTGTGTTTTGTATGGAACCAAAAAAAAAAAAGAAAGAAAGAAAAACCCCGTATAGCTAACACAATTATTAACAATAAAAATAAAGCTGGGGACATCACTGTACCAGATTTTAGGCTGTACTACAAAGCCATAGTGGTCAAGACAGCATGGTACTGGCACAAAAACAGAGACATAGACATTTGGAATCAAATAGAAAACCAGGAAATGAAACCAACATCTTAAAACCACCTAATCTTCGATAAAGCAAACAAGAACATAATTTGAGGGAAAGACAATCTTTTCAATAAAAGGTGCTAGGAGAACTGGATATCCACATGTAAAAGAATGAAACTGGACCCACACCTTTCCCCACTCACAAAACTTGATTCAAGATGGACAAAGGACTTAAATTTAAGGCATGAAACAATAAAAATCTTCAAAGAAAGTATAGGAAAAACACTGGAAGATATTGGCCTGGGGAAAGACTACATGAAGAAGACTGCCATGGCAATTGCAACAACAAAAATAAACAAATGGGATTTAATTAAACTGAAAGGCTTCTGTACAGTTAAAGAGACAACAACCAAAGCAAATAGACAACCTACACAATGGGAAAGGATATTTGCATATTTTGAATCAGGCAAAAGCTTGGTAACTAGAATCTATACGGAACTCAAATTAATACACATGAATAAAGCCAACAAGCTCATATTTCAATGGGCAAGAGATATGAATAGAACTTTCTCTAAAGAAGACAGACGAATGGCTAACAAACATATGAAAAAAATGCTTATCATCCCTAATTATTAGAGACATGCAAATCAAAACCTCCCTGAGATGCTGGCATGGATGTGGAGAGAAGGGAACATTTTTACACTGCTGGTGGGACTGCAAACTAATACAACCTATTTGGAAGGAAGTATGAAGAACCCTCAAAGAACTCAAGCTAGACCTCCCATTTGATCCTGCAATCCCATTACCAGGCATCTATCCAGAAGAAAAAAAAATCCTTTTATTATAAGGACGCTTGCACTAGACTGTTTATTGCAGCTCAATTTACAATCGCCAAAATGTGGAAACAGCCTAAATGCCCACCAACCCAGGAATGGATTAACAACCAGTGGTATATGTATACCATAAAATACTATTCAGCCATTAAAAAATTGGAAACTTCACAGCCTTTGTATTAACATAGATGGAAGTGGAACACATTATTCTTAGTAAAGCATCACAAGAATGGAGAAGCATGAATCCTATGTACTCGATTTTGATATGAGGACAATTAATGACATGGCGGGGGTAGGAGAAGGGGAAAGCAGAGAGAGGAAGAAGGAGGGAGTAGTGGGGAAGGGAGTAGCAGAGAAAGGGAAAGAAGAAGGGGGGTGGGGTCATGGTGTGTGCCACACCGTTTTTAGGCAAGACACAATTGTAAGAGGGACTTTACCTAACAAATGCAATCCAGTGAAACCTGGTTTCTTGTACCCTCGATGAATCCCCAGAAATAAATTTAAAAAACAAATGTAGAAATCAATATTTTACTGACATGCAAACATTGAGGAAATTTGCCACAAGAACAGCTATACAGAAAATACTTAGACTTATTCTCTACACTGACCAGCACAATGAACCACGGACAATGTAAATACCCAGTAACTAGAAGACAAAACCTAGCTTCCACAATGGTGCAAAGCATAAAACTAACTGGCACACTTTTACAAAATAAGATGAATAGTTTTCCATCACAATTCTCACAATTAATGTAAAAGTTTCGAATTTCTCACTGTAGAGGCACAGGATGGCTGATTTAATAGAAAAGTGCAAGCCATCTATATACTATTTCCAGGGAACACACCTAACCTCAAAGGACAAGACAAGACTAAGGGTGAAGTGTTTGAAAATAATATTTCAGTCTAATAGAAATGAAAACAAAGTGGAGGACACAAGCCTATTTTCAGACACAAGTGGATTTAAAGCTACTAATGTTAAGAAAAACAAAGATAGTCACTTCATATTGGTCAGGGGGACAATACAACAATATTTTAATTCTGTTTTTTTTTGTAATCGAGATTTTATTGGTTGTGTTGAGCATCAGTACAGACACTTCAATTTGTACACAATTCTTAACATACGTACCCAAAATCTAAAAAGCCATTTTAATTCTTTTTTAAAGTTATTCCAGTGACTTTCCAGATTAAAATTTGGAGGCAAATTTTCCTTAAGAGGATACCAGCTACCTTATCTTCAAATGTTGATAAGCTGTTAGGTAAGTCCCACCAAGTCACACTTTATTACCATATATGCTACATGCTTAGATTTTCAGTCCTTCACAGCACGGTAACAAAGTTATTAGGAAAACAGGAGCACCACAACCAAAGATGTTACAGAGGGTACACAGTTCTGACATTAAGAGCCATGATCACAGGAGTGTTTTCTTTAGGAAAAAATTCTACTATAAAACAACACGGGAATAGAAGTAATTTAAAATGTTCAAACATTAAATGCAGGACTGGACTCCATATTGCCATTTAGTATGCTTTGTATTACAGGATATAAAAACTAACCCCCATCTATGGAATGCTAAGCTCACACCCAAGACAGTCAAAGCCTCCCATTAAATCAACATCCCACACTATTTTCTGGTTGTACCAAAAAATAAACAACCAGCAAATGATTTCACCTCTTAAAAAAAAGCATTTACACTTAAAAAATGAGAGATGAGGTGGGATTCCCTCCTTCTTAAAAATGTTTCTAGAGCTACTAAAAAACTTGCATTTACAAAATAGTTGATAAAAATATTCCTCTGGATTGTACAAGAAGGGAGACAGGGACCACTGATAAGACATGGTATATGACACTAATCAGACTTGGCTTCTTTCTCTCCTGCTTCGTCAGTGGCTGGATTCTCCTCGGTTTTAGTTTCTCCATTTTCTGCTGGTAAATCTTCTTTAGTTTCTTGGTTGGCCACTTCGGCCTGCTTTCCCTTTGTTCCTCTTTTCCCTTTTGGTTGCACTTTTTACTCTGAAGATTTATCCCTTGCTGCTGCCTTTTTTGGCTTTGTTTCCACTTTCGCAGGAGCAGGTTTAGCTGACAACCGCACCGACCTCCTCTTGGGCTCTTCCTTCCCTGCACCTTCGGCAGAGCTGACCTTACTCTTTGGCATCTTGGCAGCGGGCTAGGCGCGTGCCGGGTGCCTCCCGGCCAGGCGCGCCAAGAGCCTTCACAAACCTGCGCTGCCTGGCTGCTGCCGCTCCTCCCGCCGCCCGAGCTGCTGAGACTCCAATATTTTAATTCTAAACATTTATGCACTTAACTTCAATGAGCCTAGATTTATGAAACAGATATTAATTGGCCTGAGCAATATGATATCCTATAATACCATAATTTCTGGGGACTTTAACACTCTTCTGCCAAAACTGGACAAATCTTTAAAGGAAACTAAACAAAGATACAAGGGACCTAAATGTACCCTAGAACAAATGGGCTTAATAGACATATACAGAACACACCATCTCAAAGCTAAGGAATATACATTCTTCTTGTAAGCCCATGGAATATACTTCAAAGTAGACCATATCCTAGGACACAAATCAAACCTCAAAAAATTTTTTAAAAATACAATTATATCATTTATCTTCTCAGATAACAAGGCAATGAAGGAAGAACTCAACTCCCACAAAAATGTTCATCTCCAAACAAAGGCATGGAAATTAAATAATCTCATGTTGAATAGCAGTTGAGTCAAGGAAAAGATAAAGGAGGATGTTATTAACTTCCTTGAGCATAATAATTATGAAGCTACAACCTATCAAAACCTGTAGGACACTGAAAAAACAGTCCTAACAGGGAAATTTATTGCATAGATGCCTACATCTGGAAAACAGCACATCAACAAATTAATGAGTCATCTTAAGGAATGGGAAAAGGAAGAGCAATCTAATCCTAAAACTAGTGAAGAAAAAAATGACCAAAATTAAACAGAAATAAATGAAATCAAAAACAAAAGAATCATTCAGAAATTAATGGAAACAAAAAGTTGGTTCTTCAAAACGATAAATTAAATCAATAAACCATTGGCCAGATTAGATAGAAACAGACAAATAAAATCTCTAATAACTCACTCAAAAATGAAAAGGGAGAAATAACAACTGGTACTACATAGAAGAGTTAGAAGAGATTATCTCTGACTACTACAAAAAACTATGTCGAGAAGTTTGACAATGTGAAGGAAATGGACCAATACCTGGAATCACACCATCTCTCTAAAGTTAACAAGAAAGAAATAGCTCTCTTAAACAGACCAATATCAGTACTGAGATTGAAGAAATAAAAAAATCTTCTAACGAAAAAAAAAAAAGGCTTTGACCAGATGGTTTCACAAGAGAATTCTGTCAAATATTCGAAGAGCTTGTACCTGTACTGCAAAACCTATTCCAAAATGCTGAGAAGGATGGAGACTTCCCCTACACATTCTATGAAGAAAATATCATTATGATACAAAAAAAAGCAAAGCATACAATTATAAAGGAGAGCTACAGACCAATTTCACTAATGAATGTTGATGAAAAAAATAATAACATCTTAGCCTATAGATTGCAACTACACATAAAAAATTATACATCATGATCATGTAGGTTTCATTACAGGACGCAAGGCTGGTTTAACATGGAAATCCATAAATGTAATTCACCATATCAATAGAAGCAAAAACAAGGACTACATGTTCCTCTCAATAGATGCAGAAAAAGCATATTTTCCAACATCTTTTCTAAAAAGAACATTTTAATGTAACCACATTAGATTGTATTAAAAAATCAGCACATTGTACCCTACATACGCATAAATGTATTCATGTTTTATGTGTATTTGACTTAATAAAAAATAAAAAAAAAACTTGATTACAACTCTTAAAAAAAAAAAGAAAATAGACATAGGTGGCACATTCCTCATGCTGATTGAAGCCAACTATGACAAACCCACAGATAACATCATACTGAATGTAGTAAAACTTAAAGCTTTTCCATTTACAACTGGAACCAGACAAGGGTGTTCTCTACTGACACTACTATTCAACATAGTTCTGGTAGCTCTACCCAATGTGGTCAGGCAAGAGAAGGATATAAAGGGCACCCAAAAGGATGTAAAACTTTCACTGGTTACTCATGATATGATTTTATACTTAAATAACCCCATAGACTCAACCACACCACTCCTGGAAGTGATCAAGAAATACAGTAACATCTCAGGCTATAAAATTGATGCCCACAAATCAGTAGCCTTTGTATATTCCAAATAACAATGAAGCAGAGAAGCAAATCAAGGATGCAATATCTTTCACAATATCTTCAAAAAATGAAATACCTGGGAATATGTACAAATTGATGAACATACCATGCTCTTGGCTGGGAAGAATCAACACTGATAAAATGTCTATACTACTCAAAGAAATCTACAGATTCAATGCAATCCCCATTAATATATCAACATCATACTTTGAAGAAATGGGAAAAATAGTTATTTGTTTTGTATGGAATCAGAAAAAAACTGTATATTCAAGGCAATTTTTAGTAATAAAAATAAAGCTGGAAGCATCATTCTACCAACTTCAGGTTATAGTCCAATTTCACAGTGATCATGTAGGTGAATGTAGATTATCATGGTAGGTGAAATAAATCTATTATAGACATCTTATCTTTGATAAATCAAACAAAAGCATACACTGGGGAAAAGAATTCCTATTCAAAAAATGGTTCTGGAAGAACTGAATAACCACATGTAAAAAACTAAAACTGGATCTGCACCTTTCACCATTTACAAAAATTGACTCGAGATGGATAAAAGATTTAAAAGTAAGACATGATATGATCCATCCATGTAAACATGAAGGAGGTAAAGTCTTCATTTTTCTTTAGGGCTGCATAGTATTCCATGGTGTACATATACCATAGTTTATAGAATGTAAATGTTTTGACACAATGACTATGCAAATTACATGAAATCTATGTGAACCAACTTGATGAAAGTGTTTCAAAATGTATGTGAAAACACTACACTGTACCCCCTGTTTGCATTAATGTATAGAGCTATCATTTAATAAAAAAAAAAAAAAGACATGATATGATAAAACTCCTGGAAGAAAGCATGGGCAAAATTCTTGAGGATGTCAACCTGGGGCAAGATTTTGTGAAGATGTGCATGTCAATTGCAACAACAAAAATAAACAAATGGAACTTAATTAAACTGAAAAGCTTCTGTACAGCTGAGGACACAGCCATCAAATCAAATTGAAACTTCATAATGGGAAAAAAATATTTGCATATTATGAATCTGACAAATCGTTAATAACTAGAATCTAAAGAGAACTCAAATTCGTCAATAAAAAGGAACAAACAATGCCATCTATTGTTGGGCAACTGACATGAATAGAATCTTCTTTGAGGAAGATATATAGATGCCTAACAAATACAAAAAAATTCTCATAATCTCTAATTATCAGAGAAATGTAAATGAAAATCACCCTGAGATATCACATAACCCCAGTGAGAATGGCCTACATCACAAAGTCCCAAATTTGTAGATGCTGGCATGGATTTTGATACTATTGTTGGCACTACAAATTAATACAGCCTCTTTAGAAAGAAGTATGGAGAATCCTCAAATATCTCAAATTACATTTCCGATTTGACCCTACAATTCAACTACTAAGCATCTACCCAGAAGAAAAAAAAATCATTTTATCATGAGGATATTTACAGTAGATTGTTTATCACAGCTCAGTTTACAATTGCCAAAATGTGGAAACAACTAAAATGCCCATCAACCCAGGAGTGGATTAACTGTGGTGTTTGCATACCATGGAATACTATGCAGCCATAAAAGATGGAGACTTTATATCCTTTATATTAACCTAGATGGAGTTTAAACACATTCTTCTTAGTCAAATATCAGGATAATGTGAAGCAAGTATCTAGTGTACTCAAAACTAACACGAAACAAGTAGACAATCTAATACACACCCACATAAGAGAAAAACTAAAATCAATTCAAGGTATGGGGAGGGGGAATAAAGGTGGGAGAAGAGTGAAGGAAGGGGATTGGTGTGCTTCTTCTTTGTGGACACAACGTAATGGTATATGGACCACCTTTTGGGTATAAGACATGACAACAAGAGGGACTGTACCTATATATACAAATATTGTAACTCAGTTATTTGTACTCTCACATTAACCTGAAACTAAAAAAAAAAGAGAGAAACAATTATGTACAAAAAAAAAAAAAAAAGGAAAAACTTGATAAAAACCCAAAAGGCAATCCACTAGCTGGAGGCTTTTCTCTTCACTTTCTTATCAATAAATTATCTTGCTTTCAATAAATAAATAAATAAATAAATACCTGAAATGTCAGCAAATTGTCCAAGATTATGAAGTCTACTCTAATTTTACAACCCAGAAAAGGGTGGGAAACTCAAGGAACCAAAGTAATAACTTTAAGCATAGAATCTAGTAGAAATAGCTATTCTCCTTCACATTGCCCTATCACTGCTAGTAAGGTCAGTTTTCTTGCTGGCATTCCTTCTCCTCTACTTTCATCCTTCTATGCAACTGCTAGCATAACCATGTTCCTTACCAATGATGATCATTTTCCAAACTCTGAAGTGGCACACTCATTCAGGTAAAGGGATTGTGTACTGTGTCCAATTGTAGAAAGAAGTCTGGTGGATATATTTTGAGTGCTAGAAGTTTGGAATTTCTGGGACATTTTGATCATTATGGTGGTGTCTAGGGACACAGGAACAAAATATTTGAAATCATTGCTGTTCTAAAAATCTCAGGTCATTTGCTTTTCTTCCTCATACCCATAACTGCAAATTAGATGAGTATACCTCTTTGACTTGCATCCAAATCTTGGATAAAACAGTGAATAGGTCAAGGTCATGGGCCTTTTAGTCATATTCGTGTGAGGTTGTTATTTAATTACTTATCACCTTCAGTTTCTTATAAACCATAATAACATTTCCCTTTAGCTTCTGTCTAAAGATTCTAGCATGAGAGCCAGTGTGGTATTATGTGCCTGTAGTCCCAGCTACCCAGGAGGTTGAATCTGGAGGATTTCTTGATACCAAGAGTTAGAGACCAAGTTGATCAAATAACATTAAATTTAAAA